AAAAAAAATAATAATAGAAGTATAAAAAAAATGTAAATATAAATTTTACGTAGCACACAACGCTGCTATGGACATCATAAATTAATGTTCAGTATTCAGTACATGTTGCACTTCTCAGACAATGTTAGTTTTACTGTCAAAACTGTTTTAATACAATGTTATATTTTGTGAAATGTAAATTTAACAAACCAGAGAAATTGCTCATAGGTGTGCATGTGTGAGTGAATGGTGTGTGAGTGTGCTCTGCGATGGGCTGGCCCCCTGTCCTGGGTTGTTCCCTGCCTTGTGCCCGTAGCTTCCAGGATAGGAGCCAGGGGGCAGGGCGGGCAGGATCTGGCCCCTGCGCAGGTGTCCTCTCCCCTTCTGGGACACCAACAGGTGGGATCCTGGCTGGGATCGACCCTGCTTGGGCAATGGCGGAGGCGTCCTCCTCCTGGAGGAGTCCATTGGGGCCATTAAGGAGGTCCCCGAGGGGTCCCACTCAAGCTCCTCCTCTCCCTCCATCAAGGGAGGAGAAGCAGTGATCTGATAGTCCGGGCCCTCCTCGGGGACTGGATCTGGAGCTGGGGGGACTGGAGCTGGAGTCGGAGCCTCTATGGGTGGAGCCGGCCCATTAGGCGTGGGTGGAGCAGGAGGCGGAGGCAGAGGAACTTCAGGCGGAGCCGGGGCCGGAGCGTCAGGCGTGGGCAGAGCTGGGACCTCGGGTGCAGCAGCAGGCTCCTCCCGATCTCCAGAGGGGAGAGGAGTGGCGAGAGAGGCGGTCCCGAGGAAGATTGTCGGCTCTCCTTTCTCTCTCTGCTCTTTTGGCCTCCTCTTTTATCTCCGGCTTGCGGTTGACAGCAGGGGTTGGGTTACCTCGGAGAGGACCCATGGCTCTGAGCGACATCGGCGGGAGCCTTCTCTCCGTCACCCTCTCCACCAGCTGCCGGAGGGTCTCGCGTACCTCACCTACGAGGTGCGCGTTCCCGGGCAGAGACATTCCACTCCGGCTGGCCAGATTCAGTGCCACAGGGTCCTCCTGGACCTCGGGCAGATTCAGCCAGTAGATGACCTCCTGTAGCAAACCGATGCGGTCGCTCTCCGTTGCAGAAGGTGCGTCTTTGTCGAGGTCTGTCAGTCTGTGATGATCCATGTCGGGCGAGCAAGCAGGAAGCGGGAAGCACACACGAGGATCGTACAAGCAGGTCATGACATATGTTTTGTGATGGGTGGTGCTCACTAACTGAAATATTATAGGGAATGAATTTGTCCTCCCTGATATGGCTTTTGACCAATTTTTCAAAAAAAATATTTGGTGACACTTTACTTGAAGAAGCAGAAGTAACTTAGTGACTCATTTACTACTCGAGTACAAATCATGAACAAAATAGGCCACAGTAACTGGGCAGCAATTGCACTTTACTGAACACACCCTTTAGCTTGCTATTGCTATCCGAATAAAAAGCCAACTTCAGCCAGAAAATAAGAATCTGCAAATTACAAGCCAGACAAATCAGAAGGTGTGAATCGGTAGCCAACTTCAGCATCATAGTCCATCATAGTCAGAAGGTCCTCTTTGTGATAGTATTTGACTGCGTACACTGAAACTTACAAAAGACATTTCGGTTTTATCAACAGGATTCTGAATAAAGTCTGCTGTGGTCTCTCCATTCGGTTTATCATATAGTTTTCTTAAGCTTGTTTTAGATAGATGCATGTTTTTTTTTTGTTTTTTTTTTTAATTGTCTATATTGTTCTTATATTGTTATTTTTGCTGATCCTATGGATCCTGTTATACTGTCTTTTTTATTATTGCTGCTGTTTCTAAGGAATTTCCCCATTGTGGGATTAATAAAGTCAATCTAATCTAATCTAATCTAATCTAATCTAATGTTACAAGTCAGTCATCTTAAAATTAAAATGTATTCTCTGAAATGCGTAGGACTTCTTCTCCAAATGCCATGATGCTTATTTGTAATTGCTCTCCCTATGACTCAAAGAGTATGCTGATTTTCAGCCTACACCAGCTTTTAATTACTCTCAGTCACTCGGATAGCACTTTTGCCCAAATAAATTAGAATTAATTCCCATTTATTTAGCGGCTCAGAAACTCTACGGTAGGGCAGCCCCTGGGAACTAAATTAATTAATTTGTCATTATTCCTCAAATTTGGTCTTGGTCTTACCCTAAACTCTCAGGTACTGAGTTTGCTTCCAAGTGAGCACTTAGTTAATTAATTAACCTTGAACAACCTGTACACAGAACAAATCCCACTGTTCGTTTAAAGTTAGCTGACCCCATCAACTGGTGCCTGTTTAGAAATGAATTACAAAGTTTAATTAGAAGGATGTTTTAACCTAAAACTGAGAGTATTTAAAGAAATACTGCAGACGAACATTATCAGTTTTTTCCACAGAGCTGATATTGTACAGAGGTTACGTGAAGCACAGACAGAGACCATGTGACATCAGCAAGCCAGACCATAATCACAATCACGAGTATGGCAGGTAAATGGCTACATGTGAAAAAAGAAATCTAGATTATGAACTGTATTGCTGCTTTTTAAAGGCAATTTGTGTAATTTCTGTTACATCCTAGGTTGGAAAGTCATTTTATTCAATCTGCTATTGTCAGCAGTCCAATTACATGCATCAACAGATATATGTAAAGTAGCATTTATTTGAATAGTTCAATCATTCATCCATCCATCCATCCATCTAACCATCCATTCTCTGCCGCTCCTCCGGGGTCGAGTCGTGGGCACAGCAGTCTAAGCAGAGATCTGTCCAGACCTCCCTCTCACCAGCCACCTCCTCCAGCTCTTCTGAATCCCAAGGCGTTCCCAGGCCAGCTCAGAGATGTAATCTCTCCAGCGTGTACTGGGTCTGCCCTGGGGCCTCCTCCCAGTTGGACTTACCAGGAGGCATCCTAGATAGATGCCCAAACCACCGCAACCGACTCCCATATCGGGCGCAATGCAGATCGGGTGGGAGTCGAGGACAGGGGCCTCCACAGACTGATCGTCAGCTACCAAAACTGTTTGAATAGTATAAATTAAAATGCCAGTGATCCATTCTGCATATGGCAAGCAAAACATAGACCTACTCCAACCAACCAACTTATTTTAAGCTCGTTGAGGTACGGTGTACCCACCAGGACCGGAGAGGCCAATCGGGAGACTCCAGAGAATCTCCGGGGGGCTTCGTAGTGGTTGTGCTGATCAACAAAATAATTAAAACTGAGCCAGCAGGAAATAATTTTACAACTCACACACACACACGCAATAGACCACAACTGCTCTGCATAGAGACACATGCAAACACACAGCACGCCTGTCAGTGTGATCGCTCGTCATTTAGAACTGATTGAGCGCAGTGCGCAGCTGCGAAGGTCCCACAATAATCACTTTCTGTTGCTGGTTCCTCAAACGATGGAAATTAAAAAGAGGCCAGACGAGGCTGAGGAAGTCAAACTGATTTAATAGTTCAATATGCTATTTATTTTCTGCCTGAAACGTCAGTAATAATGTTATTGGGATAATATGAACTGTGGCATCATTTATAAAAGTTCGTTCCCAGAACAAACACAAAATGGGGTGGAATTGGATGTGAAACTCTGGGGCGGAAAATGAGTCCCACTCTGGGCCTGATCCCCACTGTAATGTAACTGACATAACAGAAGGATTTAGCTACATATTAAACCCATTGTATATTTAAATATATTATCCAGATATATTATGTCCTACTTAATGGCAACATTTTTCCTCTAATCATGCAATAGCCCCCAAATTTATCCCCTGTCAGATGACAAAAATGTAAACATTTCCATGAAATTTTGACATATGAGAAAATTAACTCTGTCTTCCTGTGGTACGTAATGAATTATATCTTTCAAGGTAAATTATGTCAATTTGCAAATGATCTATCTTATGTTTTGTATTATAACTGACACAATACGGGTGGCTCCATAATCTAATTAAAAATATAGGCTACAGTACATTCATCGGCCATTTTATTAGGTACACCTGCTTGCTAAGGCAAGCAACCTGTTAATGAAAGAGGCCAGGGGAGGGTGGCCAGACTCTTTAAGGCTGACGAGCAGCCCATCAGAGCGAAAAAAACAGCTCGATGCAACCGTGGTGCAGGAGACAAACGTGGGACCTACATGGCATTCACTAGCGTTCATTGTTCATCTAATGACCTTCTAGCTCGCGATGTAATCGGCGCTGTTGTGCAAGGGTGAAACGCATAGCAAACCAACTGCATGACAAAACCGAAATTACTACGGAGTTGTATTTTAATTAACATCTCCCATATCTGTCGGCACCGGAGCAGAGCTCTTGTTTTTGGGCTGTATCATGACAGCTGTTCCTTACTGGCCGATGGCGTGGAGCCGCCCCCTATGGAGTAATGAATGAGACGGATCTCCCATTTGCTAATACGGAATAGAGGGCGTTACGACAATGAAGTCATCTCGCCGCGGGGATGGTAATATGGTGAATTCGAGTGGGTCTGTCTTATCATCATCCTTTTAAAGTACAGCTGATAAGGATTTTCCAGCAATCGCGTCCGTGTGGTCCCTGCAAACCCGATGCGAATAATGTTTAGCAAAAACAATTTGGAGGACAAAATAGCCAAATACAATATCGACGAGACGAAAGGGAGCAAAAAACCTATCTGAAAGCAAGGAAGAGGTATGGGTAGACATGTTACGGTGCAGCATTTGACATTAATTCACAACAATTTAAGTTTTTTGAGCATTGCGAGATTGCGCGTGCGACGGAAATATTGTTGTGCAATAAATTGTATCTGTTTCGATAACGTTGTAAAACGTTTATTTGAGTAGATTGCCGACAATGATGGTGGCTCTACAACCGTATCACACCACTACTGTGTTTCTGCCCTGATAAAAAGATAACGGGCATCTCTGAGTTCTGACTGTATTTAGTGATTTTGATAATTTAGCATAAATTGTGCACACATGTTTGTTGGTGCAACAAGTGTTCCACGGTGCCATGCACAAATGTCTCCGATGTTATAGTGCTTCTCTATTTTAACATCGTGTCCAGCCCCCAGCAAGGACTGATACAATATACTGTTGTGACAATAGGGTAACGTCCTCCAAAATCTGGCAGCCAAGACGGACAATATGCATATTACACACCCAAATACCCCGGTGAAACGAATCCGAAATAGTTTCATGTTGCCTTCTGCGTTTTTATTTATTTGTTTTTTTTTTTTTTAATATTGTGCCAGTTTTTTCCGCACTAATCAACATTAACGTTCGCAGAACTGACAGCGCAGTAGAATAATTGCTTGGCAAATAATGAGTGTTTGAAGAATAGCGTTATTACTTGTACTGCTGATTTGAAGTTTGATTGTGCGGCATGGGATTTATTGTCTTCACTGTTGTTGATGTATGGATTGGTTCAAGGCTTTGACGCGAGTTGAGTCTGTACCTTAAGAGTCTGTTTCTTCGTGTGACCACTTGTTTGCTCCCGTATTCGTGCGTAAGGTGTAATTTAGATGGATCTTAAGTCAAAGAATGCGTCAGCTCCTAAGGCCTCCAGGAAGAGGAAGGGTTCAAGGGCAAACCCCAAAGGGAATGGACAAGGTACTGTTATCTTTGCAGTTTACTGGTGTAAACCATCAGTCTGTGGCCAGTGTGCGCAGATTCATATCCTGGTAGTATATGAACAACCCCTTAACTTATTTTGCTTCACTAACTATTCTGTATAAATTGTTAAAGTTTTTAGTTGGTCAAAGAAGTAAATAATGTTTCATTAAACTCCCAAACTATGTGTTCTTGTACAACAAAGGCAATTAAGCAGTTTCCATAATTATTCCTTAGAATTTGTTGTTTTAATGCAATAATAGATGAGAGGAAATATATTTAGTGTTAAAGTTTCATCGTGCATTTCAGACTCCAGCAGCAATGTGGACAAGAGGTGTAAATCAAAAGTAGAGAGTGCATCGAAGGTAAGGAAAGGTTTGCCATTTCTAACCCTTTTTAAATGTCTGCTTGAGCTGCCATGTTAGGGAAAACACATTAAATTAAATAACGCGTGTAGTGTACAAATTTTTGTCATTTTAACTTACAGTATATAACAATACTGTGTACACCCCTGTGCAATATCTTTAAAATGGTAAATTATTCTAAATTATAGAATTTTTTTTTTATACTTTTAAGTTGAAGTGCCTGGTATTTGATCTTATGTCTGTCTTAAAACGAACATGTTTGTCTGCACTGAAAATAAGGGCACCAGGGTAGAAACCCAATGCACCAAAAGTGATTGCACGTGTAATTCCTAATAAAGCCAAACTGCATGGACAAGGATATAAAATAAAAATAACAAAAGGAGAATTTACCCATGGGGATTAATAAAGTATCTCCATTCTGTTATAGCATGTGAACATCACGGCTTTCAAAGCACAGCTTACCCAGTGTTGGTCTGGGTTGTTCCTAATGCAATATGTCTCCACATGGTAAGGAGTTGCATGGCCAATTTAGAACCAGATTGTAAGATTTCATAGAGATGGGAGACGGTACAAGATCATCAGCAAGTTACTGAACATTAACCAAAATACAGTGGCGGCAGTGGTTTGGGGAGACATCCTACCAACAACAGAAGGCGCAGTGGCCGTCCTTGAAAAATGACACTATGCACAGTTTGCTATTTACAGAAACTTGCAATGAAACAAAGACGACGCAAAGGACATTGCATGAAGTCAACCGCTATGGATGGCGTCCAAGAAGAAACCATTAATCACAAAAAGGCATAGAACTGTAAGGTTAAATTTTACTGGTAAATATAAAGAGAATTTTGGGAGCAGCGCGTGGCTCAGTGAGCCGTACCTGTGATCAGAAGGTTGTCGGTTTGAGTCCAGCCTCGGTACATCTGTGACCCCCCCCCCTTAACCCCCAGCTCCCTCAGCGCCACAACAGGTGGCTGCCCTTTGCGGCCAGCCTACTCTCACCATCAGAGAGCAAGCTGGGGGAGGCATAGAGAGACACTCTCCAAGAGGATCAGTAAAAGTATTTATTATTATTGTTCATTTTGGCAGTACATTCTTTGGCCAGATGAAACCAGAATAAATTTGTTTGAGTCAGAAAGGGGTCTAGCATGTATGGTGTAGACCTGACCAGGATGACCACAGTGACTGCATTGTGCCGACTGTGAAACATGGAGGTGGATGGGTGCAGATATGGGGTCGCACATGTGCAAAAGGTGTAGGGAGGATGACATTTACAGATGGCGCCATGAATGCAAGCTTGCAAACCCAAACACTGAGTGAAAAGCTGGCTGCCAGTGTGAGGGAGCTGGATTGGCAGGAGAGGAAATTTCCAACGTGACAACAGTCCCAAACGCACTGGAAAAATCACACGAGTTTAAAGAAGGAAAAAAAATGAAAACTATGACCTGACCAAGAATGTCCCCGGTCTTAAAACCAATAGAAGACCTTTGGGGTATTTTAAGGTGGAAGGTGGAGGCGAACCACTCCAGCAGAGAGCAGCTGAAAAGAACAGTCTGTGAGGAACAGCAGACAGTTTCTCCACAGAATTGTGCATCACTGGTATCATCAGTGCCCAGGAAAATCGATCAGTCATCAGAAATATAATAAAATGAATGGATTGTCACTAATAAAGGTTTTACTGACTTATGTTGCACTTTGATATTACATATCATTATTGTTTGATTAGACATTACTTTTTTATGAATTATATGTCTTCATTCTTCTTGGGCTGTGGCCACAAACAAAAATTACTTAACATTTTTGTGATATTTACTTGGGGTGTACTTTTTTTATATACTGTGCATGAAAACTGTGTTTTCATAGGCCTGTACTGGATGGATGGATAAACTCTCAGTAGCAATGAATTTACACTACTGTAGTTTGTGACTCTGTTAAATGTATTCAGAGTCAACTGCTGGGATTGGCTGGGACAGATTTGTGTTTAAATATCTTGGCCAATTGCAGTACAGCGTATAGGAACATTAAAGATACACTATCTAATTTCTGGGAATATTTGTCACTCGGCTTGTGCCAGGTAAGACCCAGACTCGCACACAAAATAGTATCGATGGGAGCCTGGTTGCGTATCTGAGGTCTTGGCTGCGACTGTCAAAACACAAATAGACAAAGAGGTGATTTTTAGAAGTGTCACCTTACTAATGCAGGTTGGTGGGATGAGGTGGAAGGGATGTGAATGAATGGCCACCATTTCTTGTTTAGGTGTCACACTAATGGAGGGTTTGTCAGCGACAGAGCAGTGTAAAGGCAACACTGTAGACCAGTGTTTATTATTACTTATGAGATTTCGCAAAAAAAATAATAAGTTTGAGATCAGTCAACCCCACTCATGCATGCAATGACTTCATCCATACAGTCATTGTTTTCAGTATCGTTTACTTCAATCCAATTATCTATATAGTGCCCATCCCAACATTATTGCCCCAGAGCGCTTGTTAAAACCAATTATCGGTTACAATCTTACAGTCCCCAGTTTATGAGCGAAATCCGTTCCCTAAGTCTGTCTTAAAGTCACATTTGTAGGTAAGTCAATTATAAAATTATTATTATTATACAGTAATGGTATTGCACTGTACCTTGAACTGACAAGCCAGGCAGTGTTTTCGCGAGTGTCACAAAGTGTGCATGTTTGTTATTACGACCCATTGTATATTTAACCTAAATTTTTTATATAATGGGCTTTATGGCAGTCAGTTCATGAGTACAACGTTTCGGTAAGGCTTACATTCTTAACCCAAGGACTGCCTGTATACAGGAACAAAGAGCTGAGCTGAACTGTCACGAGAGTTATAAAAAGATACTCTTCATGGGGGTCAAAGATCAACGGCCCCCCTACCTGCAGGCATTTTCTGCTGAATGTTACCCTCTGTTTCCAGCTGCCGTCTCTCCTCCTCTAGCCAGAAACCGACAGGCGTTACAACACTCTGTCCCTGAATTATAAACCCCTTTGCTCTCCTGTTACAGTCTGACAAGGCAGAGCAGCAGAAGGGGCGAAAGATAAAGAGAACGTATGAAAGGAAATCGTAAGTGTCTGAAGGACGTTATTTAAGCAGCTGTGTTTGTGACCATTACCGTTGTGGCTAGCAGGAGTCCTGACTAACGTAGCCAAGACTTCTGCACGTTTGTATGTATATATTTAACGCTTCTTACTGTTAATTAGTTTGTCCCTAGGAGTCTTATTGGCCTGCTAGATGCTACATGGAAAAATAATTGTGACATTGGTAATGCCTGATGTGATTCTGGTGACTCCATAAACCGGTTGTGTGGCCCCTTCACTTTACTTTGAGGCTTGTCGCAGTGTCGCATCACATGCTGGATGCCGGGTCGCGACAGTGATGTACACTGGGCGCCTGGCCAGTGGCTGTGCTCCTTGCTGTCTCCCCCAGGTCCCAGTGCCCCGCGCCTCTGCCTGCGGAGGTCTCCACCAGTAGGGCGTCACACCTCGGGCTGGCCAATGGTGGCGAGGGCTCTGCTAGTACGTTATGCCAGGCAGAGGCAAGGAGTGGAGGGCCCCGCTTGGAGACAGGCCCAGGTGAACGCTCCCGCCATGACGGAAAAGGTCTTTTCTTAATTTCCTGTTTTTTTTTTTTTTGTTGCTTGTTAAAGTGTACGACAATGGAAATGATTAACTACCTATCTTGCTTAGATGGCTGTAAGGCTATTGAAAAAGTTACAGCCTGAAGTATTTTCATATTCAGCGATTACTTTCAAAACAAAGGTTAAACCCCATGAACCAGTGGCCTGTACTGCGAAGCAGGGTTACTGGCTTATCGGGATAACTTGTCGGATTTAAGGTAGTCTGGGCAAAATGTAAGTGAACGAAGTCCATTTAAACTGTGGTACCTTAAATCCGACAAGTTACCCTGATAAGCCAGTAACCCCGCTTTGTAGTACAGGCACATTTAGCTGCTCATTTAGCACCAGCTTTTTGTCTGTAGCAATTAAAATGCTTTTCTGAGTACCTTCGGAAAAGTTAATTATTGAAGCACCTTAAAAACGCTCTGCTCTAGAAACGCCTCTGCACTGGACACGTGAGGGACACAGGAAGCTGCCAGAGTGAAATATTCACACTCACTCTCGTCCTGTGTGCTGTAATTCAGTAGCTGATCAGCCCCCCGATGTTGGCAATGTCTTGGCATCTTGGTGTCGTTCTCACCCAGATACCGTGACCAAGAGAAGGCGCAAGGCTGGGCAAGACGGCAAGCTTTCCAGAGAAGCTTTGGCTGATGCAGTGAAACAGTCAGGTATTGCTAAATGGTTTGTCTTTTTGTCTTTCTTTAATGTGAGATACTTTAATGGCATGACTGATATCATACTTTATCATTCAATCTATCAGCAGCTCCTCCGGGACGAAACCAGAGGCCCCAAAATGCAGAAAGAACTCCTGAACCGACGTCCAAAGACCGAGCACCAAAGAAGGGTCTTCCAGTCTACACTCCTGGTGGGAGGCACTCATCCAACTTGCCCCCCCCCCACTCCCTTTTAGAAGGAACTGTGCTTCATGAGTGTTTAAGAATAGTGCTAGAAATACCGGCATCTACTGGCAGTGTGCTGTAGGTCACAGCTACTGCACAGTGACATCAACATGTTGCCATTGGTTTGGACAGGGAGCCAGGAGGAGCAGTGGAATCTGCAGATTGTGGACAAAGGACGAGTCACGTGCCCAAGATGCAAAACCGTCAGCAGGAAAACTGTAGATGGCTTGAAAAAGCACATGGCAAACTGCAAAGTGGTACGTATGACCATCCATGCCACCTGTTATCATACCGGGGTTCGGTTGTGCCGAAATATCATTCATTAATTTTATTTTCTTGAGATCCTCTCCAGGATAAGTTGTTGGAAGATGGATGAATGGATGGTTGAATGTAGGGGCGGACTGGCAACACAAACCAGCCCAGGTGTTTACTGCCGAGTGGGGGGTCCTCCTTGGTATATTTGTGCCAATCATGATCAACCAATTGACCACCAATGAAATTAAGCATTGTCGAATAATCATCTCCTGCGATAGGTTGGGTGCCGCTGGTATATATGCTATACAGTGCCAGGGTTGAGGAAGAAAGACCGACCTACCGGGGAAATCGCTAAACCGATGGCCAGTCCGCGCCTGGTTAAACGAATGGATTAATTATTTCTTCTACATCCAACAGAATCCTTTCACGTGTCAACACTGCGGGAAGCAGTTAAAGTCATTGACGGGCATGAAGTATCACATCATGGCGGAGCATAAGAACATGGTAATGGTCGTTCTTCATGCACTGGAGAATCGCCCCTGCGGATGTGCTGTAGGCCCAGTCCGGCTCACGGCCATTTCTCTGCTGCGTTTTCTAGCCCATGTCGGAGGACAACGAGCAGGATGACCAGTCTGTGAAGGAAAATCTCCGAAAGGTGCTAAAAAGGATGGGGAAACTGAAATGCTCGAATGAGGTATGCCTTTCCTTACCATTCCAACTCATGTCTTTTATTCTCCATTATGACTTTGCCATTCTCTTGTTTAGCTGACATTTTTAGCTGGTGGGAGTTTTGGCTTAGACAAAAATGTTCTGAGGGCAAAAGGAAAAAAGATTGGTTCTTTCTCTGGACCAATCATATTGTAGAGGAGACAGGACCAGCCAATCAGATTTCCTGACCCCACCTCCTCTAGTCGCTTAGACCATTATAAGGTTGATAATGCGCACAGCTTGAAGGCCGTGATGCGGGGGAGGAAATGTCGATGTGGGTCACCCTGTGTCCCGAATCTCAGGGATGCGGTGGGAGTTTCACCAGCATCACAGGCTACCTGTACCACACGAGGAAATGCGGCAAGGAGGAGTCTGAGCTGGAGAAGCTGGTGCTAAACTGCAGACACTGTGGGAAGGCCTATAGATCCCGGGCAGGCCTGGAGTACCACGTCAAGTCTGAACACAGCCCGGTGAGTCACTGGCTCCCACTCCCAGGGAACATGGCTTGTGTTCACTGAACGATGTTTACATGGTTGGCTGGTTAGTTGCTTGCTTGCTTGCCTCGTTGGAATCTTTGTTTCCAAAATGATTTTGGTTGCTACCAGGGCGAGCAACTCAAAAATCCTCAGCAAGTGTCTTCATGGACTAGAGTCTAGCAGTAGTTGTGTTTTTCTGCAGAGTCCACTGAAGGCCCAGGATGATGAAAAGATGCCACCAAAACAGGAACTGGACCCAGAAAGGACCCCTAGTGGGAGGGTGAAGAGGGTATCTGCCCAGGTAGCCATCTTCCACCTGCAGGAGATTGCCAGTGAGGAGTTGCTCAAGGAGTGGCCCAAGAGGAAGGTGCAGCAGGACCTGGTCCCAGATGACAAGAAGGTACAATGGGTGTGATGAGCAGCTAACTGTGGCCTTGTAGGCCTAAGTTTCAAAACCCTGGTTATAAGCACATGGCTACGTTTCTGTTCCCTGGAACCCCTAGCTCAAGTATGCGCGACCGGGGCTACCTGCTTTCAGTCAGGAAGTTCTCCGCAAGTGGAAGAATGAAGTTAAGCTCCAACACAGAGTGCAGTGTCCAAACCAGGTCAGGCAGCTGCTGGGTTTGAATGGGGAGAAACTGTCGGGAGGCTGTTTTGGTGGGATCATTCATGTGTGCATCCTGCAACAACTTTATGGTCTCTTCCAGGGTTGTGACTCTGTCTACTCCAGTGTCTCTGGGCTGAAAGCTCATCTTGGACTCTGCTCAAGGGTACTGTGCTTTCAAACATCTGCCTAATTGCCCTGTACATTTTAACAGCATTGTCTTCCTCAATGAATGCCCCGATCCAAAAAGTTAGATTATCTATTTTCATATTTTGCTTTACAAAATGTACCAAGGTATGTTTGTATCATAAACAGATGTTTTTAAAATAAAACTATTACTGGGGTGGTTGAGAATTCTGTATCGTTCTAGGATTTGACCCAAGGACCTTCTTATCTTAAGTTTAGAGCTGTAACCAGTAACGATAGGGTACAATTGGCAGACCCTTGAAGGAACCGCCCCAGTGATAATTAATTATTGACACTTATTTTCCTGAACCACATGGTTAACTGATGTCACACGGACAGAAAAAAGTTAAAAAGTTGCTTAAGCTTCATATTAATTACTCACTTTCTGTATGAACGAGGTAATTTGAATTGCTATTGGTTTCCTTTGTCCAGGGGGACTTTGAGGCAGGGAAGTACAAATGTTTGATATGCGAGAAAGAATTCAGCTCAGAGAGTGGGGTGAAATATCATATCAACTCCATCCATTCCCAGGTAAGTGATGTATACAAATTTCATGAAAAGGCATGACTCAGAAGTTCAAATGAAACCGTAACGCGCTCTCAGAAAAGTTACTGGTATCTTGCTGGATGGCTACAGGGTTGGGGCCATACCGGAATGCATTGATCAATTCCAGTCCAAATCAGGAAATGGAACTGGAGTTGGAACTTAAATCTCCCTGAAATTCAAATTCAACTCCAATTCTGTTCCCCGTAGTTTTGTTCCCAATCCAAGCTCCAGTTCCATTTCCTGATTTGGACTGGAATTGATCAATGCATTCCGGAATGGCCCCAACCCTGGATGGCTAGATGAACACCACAGTTCCCAAACTTCTTCTCAGGGGCACCCCAGCCATTCCATGTACTTGCTCACCACCCGCTCACTTAATTAATTAACTGAATTAGTTAAATAATTTCATGAAGCATTATGTAGCCTATTGTGGCTTGCCAGTGGCCTAGTCAAGTAATGCGTGAGTATATTGGACGGTTACTGCAAATACTGGGGTGGATTTCAGACAAGATCTGAAACGGCTAAGCTGACACACTTTGCTAGACGTAATATCATAATTTTAAATCAATATGAAGATCATTTAAACATAATTTTCTTTGACTGCCTAAAAATTTTGCAAAGTCCCGTAATAAGGTTGGACTTCTCCAGGTTATTTAACTGTTTCTTTTATTCTGAATACTTTTGTGCTGGGGTTTCAACAATGTCAAAGATGACCAAGAAACTAGCTGAGCCATTAGTGTTTACCGCTTAACCGGTTATCAGCAGTACTTGTTGAAAAAGTGAACAGCTTGTAGTGAATAGCCTGTAGTAACATGATTTGAGCCTTAAACATTGAGCCAATAACCCACTGGGTAATATTTAGATATTTTATGTTTCTGCTCATATCAGGACTGGTTCATTGTAAGTTCTAAACCCTCTAAGAGCTTTGAGAAGCTCCTGAAGAGGAAACTTAAGGAGGATCGTGTCAAAGCCAGTGCGGAACAGAACCCGTCCCTGAGGTTCACTCCAGAGCCCAAGGGCTGGCCAGATAGGAAGGCCAAAGCCGGCCCTGTGTCCAGTGTGAAGGCAACCCTGGGGACCATAGAGGGAGAGCGGAAGTCAAAGGAGGCGCTGAGCGGCCGGGAGAAGGACTGCTACGACTTCAGCGGGAGCGACAGCCCCAGCAGCAGCTCCAGCTCCAGCAGCTCCAGCAGTGAGTCCGAGGCCGACGAGCCTGAGCCCCCCAAGGTTGACAAGTGGGCCTTGAAGAGGCCTGTGGCCCAATCCAATGCTGCCAAACAGGCCAAGAGCGCCTCCTAACTCCACCCACAGGTCACCGTGGGAACTGCGTCCTGGATATTCTGACTCCTAAAGGCCGATGAGGTCCCTTTGTCAGTGTCACTTTTAAGGTGCTGCTTAATACCACGGTAACAACTAAGCTCACTATTCATTTTCTGTTGCAAATTCTGGGTATTAAAATATCATCTTATTCATCTTATTTTGACATCATGTCTGTCTACAGGAAGGTAGTTGAAAAATAAATTGAAAATCCCATACATATTTGTCATCTAGGTAGTTTTAAATTGTTTCCTCTAACGCATCAGTTGTGTAATTTAAATGAAATGTACAGTACAATGTACATGCAGAATATATCATTCAATGAAGCAGTTGTAACATGAAATTGGTATCTAAATTATCCCTAGACCTGGGATGCACTTGGGGTCAAAATCCACCATGGATATTTCATTCCCATTGAATATTTTTCGTTCATGGCCCAATGATACAGTGTCCCACCATGAATTTCAATGATCAAGCTCATTCCTGCCCCAGACTGACCATTTGAGTGATTGGCTATATGGACAGAATATCCTACATGTACCAAAAGACTGAGGATATGAACATGATTGCCAAGACTACAGCAAAAAAAGGGTGTCACTGTAAACGACAAACCAAGTATTCAGTTAGATGAGCCCCTGATTTCATACTGTAGATTACCAAAGTCATCAAGGAGAGTCCTAAATAACATTTATTGTCTCTGTTGCTTTTATGCGTAAAAGAGTTATGAAAAAAATTTCATTGTTCTGGGGGTGACTCACACTGAAAATGGTTTAATATCCCAGCTGAATAAGAAATGAATACAAAACCAAACAATGTTGAAAATTTCTTTATTGTCTTCCACTTGTAACCTTTTCATTTAGCCAAAACCCAGCTTAGGTTTCCTGCTATTTAAACATTTTGTAGCCCCCCCCTGACCACATCACAGGCTGTTAGTTGGTTTCTTTTCTGTATATACAGTGTATATCAATAGCATGCAAAATAATTTTACTTTGTCTGTTGGATTGTGGAGCATATTAACGCATAATGGAGTTATGATATTTGATTTAGTTCGTAATATTTGTGTATTTATGTTAAAGTATATGCTTCAAAATGAAGATAATATTTATGCTTTTCTAATCTGTTATAAGGTAGCTGTTACTGTTTATATAGACATTGCTAAGGTAGCTATTGTGGATCAATCCAGCAAGTCAGATTTAATAATCACAGCTTTTAACGTGACCGTATGTTCCCTTACCAATTCAAAATGCTATATTTCTTTCTAAAATGATTTTACATCATTATATTGTTGTATGCTCATTTGAAAAAGTGCTGTATTGTTTTAATGTTACTGTGCTACATTTTGAAATTTTCTTTTAAGGATCGTATATATAGCAGTTAATTAGGGTAACCAAAGGAAGATGTATGCACTTTTAACTTGGACTCTACTGCTTGACCTTCCGTATGAAGGAAAAGTCACTGTTGCTACACTTGATTCAGTGAGTTTTTTCCCCTATGTGATATACCAGTTTTTCAGACTATGCTCATAGCGTATTGCCATGCTTGACTGTTTTATTTTCTAAAAAGTTATTCTTTTAAGGAATTATATTTTCCTTGTTGTGGCTTCTCTTATCCTTAAACAATTAGATTGTTTTGACTAGATACACTACTACTTGAATTGCTTGTATTGCACTTGTATTGATTTGTATTATTTTGTATTATTCAAAAGCTCTCTACTGTTACATTTTCTAGGTAAAGGAAATGGATGATTAACACCTTGAATTAAATGTACATGTAAACACTACTGTTTGGCCTTATTGGGTGTATTTTTTAGTTTTATTTCCCATTTGTCTCTGTTTGGTATTTCCTTATGAAATGTTCAGTGGTCATTCAAACCTACACCATAGTTAGATGGATGCTGTAGGAGGGCGCAGTGTTCTACAGTGCAACAGTGGTCGGTTCATATAAGCATGGCCAGTGAATGTTTGTAGGATATTGGGTAAACCGCTGGGCTTGGAGTTTTCCAATTCAAATCCCAGGAATTTAACCTGTTCCTTTGTTAGGAAGGCCGTAGATGAGAAAAAGAAGGGCATTTTTGAAAATATCTACGGCCATGGTATTTTTTTCAGGAGTGTGCTTGGTAAGTAATTGTATTTTCAAAGTGACTAGTCAGATACAGATATAGACATAGCACAGGTGTACTGTAGTAGCTATAGTAAGTATTTTAAAGATTTTGCTTTTAAACATTTAAAGTAGTTTAAGATTTTTTCAGGCTCTTCTAATACGAAAGGTACATTGGTGGTTTCCTCCTATGAATATACAGTCTTTAGACATCAGTTACATCTCTTTAATACTTTGCATTAGCCTAGTTAAGTCTCTTAAGGTGGCTTACTTCACATTTAACTGATACTCTTCACCATCACAAGGTTATAACTTTGAATTTTCCAGTTATCAAGAATTATAAAGCATTTTCCATATGATTTAATGGTCCTTATATGGTTTGTCTTTCTGTTTATCTTGGCTGGGGTCCTGTCCTATGGCACACAGCTGGGGTAAATATTTGATGAGAAACTAGTCTTTTGCAGGGCGTGTGTGTGTGCGCGCACACACACACACACACACGCACACACACAAACAGGCCAGAAGAAACCCACATAACATGTGGAGAGCATGCAAACTGTGACATTCTCCATATCTCCCTATATACAATTTATTAATATATACTCAGCATTAGAAAGCAAACTTTAACTGGGATTTGGAAGAGATGTACCTAGTCATTGTTCCAAGGCCAATGTATACGTAGGGGATTTTAGAATGACAACTTCTGGGAAAAGGTGCGATGCTCTTGAATGTTTTCGGTACATTTCTGTGCCCGACGCGTCCTCTCTAGGCCCTACCTGCGGTGAAGCAGTGAATTACAGACAAAGCGTAGCTGCACTGTCGGGTTTGTGACGCAGGGGGCAGCAGCGAACAGGTCAAATCCCACAGAAAAAAATATGGACGCGTGGACGCTACTAGTTTACTAGTGTAGTTTGGGGGGATTAATACTGGACGTCGCTCGCTGTTTCTCTACCGTCTTGCCGGAATAATTATTGGTACGTGTTTCCAAATATTCTGTCGTGCGGCGTATTTCACTTGTTTGGTTCGTTATGTGGGTTTTTATGTGGAAACCCGCGCCTTTCATGGCGAATCTAAGCCCGGGGTTTCGAAACGAGTTATGTCGAAGTGGCAGGCCGCGTCGGCGGTGGACCGGAGCGGGGCTCTATACGCTGAGCCACCGGGTCTGCGAACGTGAACTGCCACTTTCGGCGGTGGTCTTTCGTGCGGAGACTTCGGCTAACGCGACTAGACCAGTCGCTTAATGAAATACGACCGACCGGGATGCAGCCTACCCAGAACGGAGGACCGGCCAGCCTGGAAACGGCTAGCTGGTTGTTAAAACGCTGCCACGGGCAGTATTCCCCCCTTTCGGCGTACATGCTATTCGGATAGACTAGCAGCTCCGCTTTGCGTCTTTTATCAAATTACCGAGTCAACATTTACGGTTGGCGTGAAAAAAAAATATTTCAGAGCAAGTGTCCGGCTAGCTGCTTAGCAAGGTGCATCATGGTTTGCCCGTGCAGATCTCTAACTAGACGCAAACGCAAGCTAGTGAAACATCACTGCACATGGCATCACAAACTCTTGATTTATCTTGGTAATTTACGTCTGTTTTTTTCCCCCAAAAACTGCAGCATATTTGCTTCTCCGATGCATGCCTGCCACATTGTTATGTGCTCGCTTTAAAGTAAATACGCCCTTGTGGAAATTATTGAATTAGGCATGATGAAATCAGCGTGCGTTGAGATGCGGGTTGCTGTATAGTGGAAGTATGTGCACATCTTAAACTTCAGAGAAACTTTCATCGCTTGGTTGTGCTAACTAAAACCGTAAGCTGTACAGTGAGTCATGGCACTGACTATGCTGTTCTCGTCAGTGAGGATCCCCATCCCGTTTCTGAAGCGCGACAGTGATAACGGACAGGACCGATCCGGGCCGGGGATGGCATCTGCTGTCCAGGAAGAGGGCAGGCAGGGTGAAGAGGTCCAGGGCGTGTGTCAGGATCAGACTGGATGCCAGGAGGGGTCACAAAGCCATGTGCATAATGACACAGAGCTGCTGGGGGACAGTGGTTCTGGGGACCCTGGAGGTGTGAATAATGGAGAAGATGCACGTGACACAGGGCAGGATGAACAGTCCTCTTGTGAGTATTTGTGAGTGATCTACCAGAAAACAGACACCGTAATACACATGTACTGCTTCAGTTGAAGAATCTGAATGGGATTTCCGTGCTTCACTCCTGCACATACAGTGTTACACTGCAGAATGTTGAATGTTGAATCTTATGTGAGACAGTAGTTAGTGCCGGTGATCAAAATGAAATCAAAGTCTATTTATCAAATGCAAAAACATTACGGCATAAAGCAGTAGATGCAGGCAATGTAGTGAGAACTCATAGGTAAGTAATAGGAATATGTTTGTAAACAAACAAATACATACCATGGTAAAAGAAAAAATGGAAATGTGCAAATTCTCCATTTGTATGTGTTGTGAGGGTGCGTGTAGATCTGACAACTTTTAGTAATTTCTGTGCCCCAAATAGGTCAGACGTTGGACAGCACCCAGTCACTGTCTGAGTCTTCCAACTCTCACACCCCAAATAACCGTGTTCGGAGAAGGGTGGGCCGGCCGCGCAAGCACCCTGAACCTGGGAGGCCGCCCGCCAGTTCCGTGCCCTCTATGCCGCCACCCAGTACGAGTTCAGAGAAGAACGAGGAGCTGACCCCAAAAACCCAGAAGAAGAGAGGGAGGAAGTCGAAAGTGGAGCTGTTAGCCATGGCCCTGGAGAAGGAACGAGAGCGACAGGAGGCCGGCGTACCCATCGAGAACACGCCCGCGGAGGATCTGGAGGTGACTTCGGGCGGCAGACCCAAGAGAAGAGCAGCCACTGTGTAAGGAGAATCCCTGCTCCCTCTGGGACCACATACGTATGTCACAACACAGCATACACCAGAGTGTGCGCTCATCTTACCCACTTATTCAGCTGCATACATGCTACACGAGCACCTAGAGCAGGGCTGCTCATTCCTGGAGATCTTCCACCCTGCAGAGGTTAGCTGTTAATATTAACACACCTGGCTGTGATACTGAGGTGCTAGGGAAGGGTCTGATTATCTGTATCAGGTGTGTTTAATTAGGGCTGCATCTAAACTGACCTAGAGGTTAAATAACCTACCAGGTAAACAACACCACTTCTGGCTGTTTACAGATAAGGTTCACTTCTGGGATTTGAACCAGCAACCTTCAATAGTATGATCCATCTGGTGCACTGCTTTGTCAGGAAGTCACGTCCACTGGTTGTATACATTTGTTAAATTTATTTAAAATGTTTGCTTCTTAGAACTGGAAGGATGTGGAAAGAGTAATGGTGAGGAAATATGTGCCTTTTGTCATGGGGATATTCAGACACACTGATGTTCAGTCTGTGATTTTGTAAATGTAGCAGAAGGTTATTTTTTTTGACGAGGTGATAGGTTTAGTGTTTGGATGACGGGGTGTTGAAGTTGGTGAGATGCTTGTTGACCCAGCAGCTCAATGTCAGTGGTGCGTTGCAGGGCCAGGAAATACCTCCAGGCCCTAGTGGAGGAGTTGAGTAGTCACCATGGGAAGTCCGCCCAAACGGAGAGCCAGCCTGATAAGAAGGTCACTGCACGCCCGACCCAGAAGCCTGGCAAGGTCAGGAAGCGGAAGAGGAGAGGCTCGGACCAGGACAGCGATGACGCCACTGCGGACGCCGACTTCATCCCAGAGATTAGGGAGGAGGCAGAGAGTGAAGGGGAACCCAGCGAGGATGACTCCCTTAGCCTGGATGACGAAGACCGTGATCCCCGGCCCAGGGCCCCATACCAGTCCGTGAGTGCTGCCTGGACTAGTGCATATCCAAGTGTGTAAAAACCCACATGTGTGATCAGAAGGTTGCTGGTTCATGCCTCAGAAAAATTCTGTCTTGACGTTCCTCATTGTGCCTCCTGCACTGTGAAAACGGACAGTCATGTGATCCAGTAACCATCATAAACACACCAGTAAAGAGGGGACAATGTTACGAAAAAGTCCCAAAGTTGACATTTCATAAACTCATGTTCCTTCAAAGCAGAAGTGGTGTTAATGCCAGACCTACCCAAGTGCATTATGGGATGTTTTGTGTGCATACAGTTTTTCTGTTTAAACCGGTAACTTGAAGCTACTGGAGTCATTTCCTTCCTATGTTGAATCTGTAGCTTCATTTGTTTCCTTAACCACTGTGGACTGTAGAGGGCATGTTTCGCTTCAGTTCCAGTTGGTCACTATTAGCTTAAGCAGTGAGGCACAGATCAGGATTGTTCCTTCAATACCTGCCATCCCTCTTTCAGCCATAACCATGTCCTCAGCCACTAGGCTGTATCTTCGTATTTTTTTTTTTAACTTGAAAAATTTTGTAAACTTAACTGAACACATTATTTTCCCCAGGTTAAGGGCAAATACCCAGGCTGGGCTGCCAACGGTTTACCCAATAGCATAATGGGCCCGATCTGGTCCTGCACCGCTGCCACCAAGGACTTGTAAGCCCCCGATTTCCTTTTGCCACCATATTATCATTATTCTTCTCTGAATGTCAGGAGTTGTTCAGCACATCAAACAAACACCATAATTGCATGAAGACGTAGAGCCTCTCAAACATATTGTGCATCCCTTGTGATTACGAAGGATGGTGTTGGTACAATTGAAAATGGGCCCTCAGCATAGACATTAACCAGGCGTGTGTGTGTGTGTGTGTGTGTCTGTGTTGTCTCCCATACAGCCGTGAGGAGCGTTACTCTTCCTGGGTCTTCCCAGAGTGGATACCGACAGCCAAAGACTGGAACTTCCTGTCAGGCCGGTATGTTTTCAAAATGTTTGGGGGGGGGGGCTGCGTGCAGAGAGATTGTCTGCTTCTACATCTGCTAAATCAGTATATAAGCCTCTGTGACTGAACACAAGTATGTATAGATCAAAAAATAAATAAATACTGTGCAATATCTCCTCTGAACCACAAGAGGGAGCCAGAGCACTAGCTCTTTGCCACTGTATATTCCTGAATACTGTCTGATATTGTCTAATATCTGACATATTTCAAAAAGAGCGTAATGGAAAAGATTTTAGAATTAATGACTGATTTGATGTGCAGTGAGGCTGAGAAATATTTACCTCAAGAAGAAACATCCCCAGCCTTCAAAATCTCGCGGGAAGGCCTCAAAGAAGTACCGGATCTGCACAGAATTCCAAGGTAAGGGACCGTCATGCACGTGCCCTGGGAAGTTGTCAAGCATGCAGTGATGAAGGCATCATCTAAAAAGTGCCAAGTCTGGCACAATAACATTATTACTTGTTCGGCGCATATGTTTAATGGCTCTGAGGATAGTCCCTCCTGCGTCGTCCTGTTAGGTTTGGCTGTCTGCCCGCCCACCCCGAGCGCTGGGACACAGTCTTCTTTGTCGGCGGCCCGGTCTGGTCCATGGAGTGGTGTCCGTGTCCCGACGGCGCGATGGCAGCCAACCAGTATGCCGCCGTCTACTGCAACCGCGGCATGGATGACCGGCACAAAATCATGGGCACATACAGTGAGCCGGCACTGCTGCAGATCTGGGACCTGAGCGCGCTGTCCTACGACACTTGGTATGCATGTAAACCCGTCCCGCACACATAAATCCACGCAAATAAACCGCACTCGGTCGCATCGGTTTACTGATCACAGCTCTGCTCCCTCGTTCCCAGCCCCGCGGCTCCAGCCCGCCTGGCCTACGCTCTGGCGCTGGAGGACGGCTGCATAAGGGACATGAAGTGGTGCCCCAGTGGAGCGTGGGAACTGCCCAGCACATCCAGAAAGGTACGCCCCCCATCAGAGAAATGGTGCGGCAGCGTCAGCAGGCTACGCCGGCCCCTTCCACCGTCCGTCTCCTCTCTCCACCCTGAACCTCTCGCCTGGTCTCTCTTCCCGCCCAGAGTCCCCTAATGCCGCGGCTGGGTCTGCTGGCCGCGGCCTTTTCCAGCGCCAAGATCGCCATCTACAGCCTGCCCCACCCGGATGCCTTGCTGGCCTACAGGAAGACACAGAATAAAGGTGGNCCTTGCTGGCCTACAGGAAGACACAGAATAAAGGGGGGGGGGCGGGTGCATCATGTTCATTTTAAGAATGAAAGAGCAAAATGCAGGTCAGCTGACTGCTGGTTTGTTTTTGAGCAGTTTGTTACTGCAGTATGCCCATAATGACCCTAATATAAACAACATCGCAATTTGCCCCATATAATCAAAGAATAATCAGAATACAGTGTGTATCTGCCTGTAGCTGTCTTCCTGTATCTGTCTAGTAGATTATTATCTGTATCAGGTTATATGATTAGTCGGTTTTACCCTTAATTCAATTAGATCTTGACCACCAAACATTTCCATCTGTATTTTAATCATGTCTCGCCTGTTAGACATGTGCCTGAATTCGAGGCATTCTGGGAAAGGTAAGCAGAATAATATGCTTTTAGGAAATGGGATCTGCTGTGCTCTGTCAGCAGTATGTTAATGTGTGAAAATGAAATACTGTCAAAGATTTAACCGCAGTGTGCTGTGCTGTCAGCAGGGGGCGACATCCCCACATCTTAAGACGTCCAGTGTTGTCTGCATTGTTGAATTAGCACTCATTAGTTAATGCTGCATGGAATTGATTGAAAGTTAATTATAATTCGGCCTGCATTCAACGGGGATTCAGAAGTTGTCAGACATCCTGAAAGTTTTATGGTGTGCATAATGTGTGTGTTTTATTGCAACAAAATGAAAAAAAATGTGCATACGTCAAATTTGTCTTTGGTAAGGGAAGGCAGCTACCATGTTTTTCAGAAGGTGTGTCTGTAAGAGGGTAGTGGTCTCAGTTTTAGTCTAGACGTGGCATTGACTTAGAGCCTTGCTGCTTGTAGATTTTTGCAGAGTAAATGACTGCGTTTTACCGCACTTCAAACACAGGTGCAAGTGCTTCCATGACAGCGGCCCAGATAGTTCGGGTGTGTGTGTGTGTGTGTGTGTGTGTGCGTGTGCGTGTGCGTGTGCGCGTGTGCAGCTTTCCCATTGGGGAGAATGTTACATGACAATGGGGCTCAATGAGCTTGGGTACAAAGCGAGGACCCTCTGTGACTTCAGGCCAGCCAGAAAGACACGGATGCGGGTTTGTGTGTCCGCCTGGTGCAACATTCATCAAAGTCGTGCTGGAGCCGGCCTTGGTCCAGGAGATAAGGGGGCCCGTCTGGGGTTAATTAATGGCGAGGTGCCGCTCTTCACCAGCCGGCCTTTTCCCAACCCTGGGCATTGTTCCATTTCCCCCTCCCTTTAAGCGTAATTAAGCTCCCTGTCAGGGCCATTACAGCACGCCCAGGCAGCCCGATCTAAAGACAAGGCTTAGTGCTGGGAAACGCCTCGCCTTGTAATCCACGACAGACACCTCTTTATGTGTGTTTTTTTTCTGTCTGAACTGTGCTGTCATCCCCATTAATCCACAAAGGTGAAGTGTTGCTCACTGTAGGAAGTTTGTGTGTGTGTGTGTGTGTGTGTGTGTGTGTGTGTGTGTGTGTGTGTGTGTATTTTAATGGTTCACTAACTGTAGCTGTAGCCTTTATACTGCCTCTGGCTGATTCTTTTAAAAACAATTTTTTGTGTTATAATTCGTTGTTGTTCAATGACCTCTGCTGGCTGTTTTGGTGATTTGTGATTTTGTTTGTTTTTTTATGGGAAGCAGTGAGTGGTTTTCTTACCTGATAAAAGGTCATGGTGGTCTATTTCAGGGTGTGTGTGGGAGGGGCTGTTTCACACGTCTACCTGCCAGCAGAGATATGACCTGAATGGCCACACACGGGGCGGGGGGTGGGTTTCATGTTTGGGGTCTATTTTAACACCGTCTGGAATACAGTCTGAGTGCTTCGCTGTACAGCACCGACTGGCCTGAGCACATCCAGCCAAGCGGGAAATTAGCTCTGTGTTTTTAAGGGGAACTGGTCTGTCTTGATACAACCCTTTGTGTCCTGAGCTGGAATTTCTCTCACCCTCTGCGAGGAAGGGGTTAACCCGGCCAGGGTCCGACCTTCGCGGCTTGCTGGCTTCAGAGTGTTCAGCTCAGATAATTAAAAATAGCTTTTTTGTGTGTATGTGTGTCTGTAAAAATCATGGGGGGGGGGTTTATGCTTCTTGCTCAATGGAGATAATTTACGGGCTCGTTCCCATCAGACAAGGATCTATAATTGAAATGCCAAAAAGATGCATCGCTACGTGGTTGTTAGTGTTTGAAGCCATGAATTTCGGCCTGCTACCTGGCACCCTGTCCTCCCGGGGCTGTCAATCAGGAGAGGCTTAGTGAGCCATGTCAAAGGGACTTGAGGCCTGCGGTCACAGGCCGGGAGGAGAGTAGAGAGAGGGAGCAGGTTTGGTGAGGCCGCCATCCACCAAGTGGGAGCTGGGGGTCACAGGAGCTATTTATGGGATCCTATCTACCTGACACCAGGAGTGACGGTTCAAGTCCCAGGGCAGACATGCTGTTTCATTCATTAGTTGAGCCATGTAACCAGACAAGAGCAGTCACCCCCCCCCTTCCCAAAAATCATGTCTGGCAGCTGGCATTCTGAAGAACTGAATCGCTTTAGTAGGAAAAAATGCAAATGGATGATATGTACAAGTGGAGAAATTAAGCTGTAGGTATAACGTGTTTCTCAGTGATCTCCCAGCCGCATGCATGCATCACAGCCGCATGCATGCATCACAGCAGGTGCCTGCGATTGTGTGGTTTTGCTGGATAGAAACTGGTAGTAAGACCTGAAAGGCACCATCTAGTGGAAGTCATTCCTGTGAGTCTCTGTATTTTCTCTTCCTATTTGCGGTGCTGATTCTGCGCCGGCAGTCCGATCAGCGGCCAGTATTGAGAGTGTGGTCTTCAAAGGGATAAATCTGGAGCCGCCTGCCCTGTCATTAAGTGCTGCCCCTTGTGGCCGCATCCATAACGCCGGCCACAGAATCACCGATGGCCGCTCAGTCTCCCGTAAACCTGACTTTGTTAAAGGAGCGTCTGTAGCTGGGGTTAGGAGAGTCGCAATACTCCTCGCCGAATCACGGCATGCCATTCAGTTGTCATCTGACGCACACCACTGTAAATGGTGTGTGTGTGTGTGTGTGTGTGTGTGTGTGTGTGTGTGTGTGTGTGTGTGAGAGAGTGAGTGCCTTTCTTTCCTGTCTGCACTGTGTGTATGAGTGAGTGCTTTTCTTTGGTGTGCGTGTCTGTGTATCTGCATGCCTGTCTGCACTGTGTGTATNGCGTGTCTGTGTATCTGCATGCCTGTCTGCACTGTGTGTATTAGTGAGTGCTTTTCTTTGGTGTGCGTGTCTGTGTATCTGCATGCCTGTCTGCAGTGTCTGTACACATCTGTGGTGTCTTTGTGTCAACAACCAAGTACCTGTAGTGTCTCTGTATCTATACACACGTGCCTGTAGTCTGCGTACATATGTCTGGGTGTCTCTGATGATGCATATATGTGTTGACGTGTGCTGTGTACACAGTGCACCACCCTAAAAGGTGCTAGCCGCTCTCTGTTGACGTAAAATCGAACCTGGGTCTCTCTGTGTTCCCACAGGTGCAGTCGACACCGAGCAGCACATATACCAGGTGAGTCAGTGCTGCATGAAACTTAACAACCTGGATTATACCCTGTGCACTGATCTGAGAGCTGATCCGCGGAGACCCAGCCCGCTGCTGGACTTCATTTTGCCAATAGCGTCAGATGATCTCCTTGCAGATTTTCCACGGAAACTCATTTTAAAGTGAGAAACCTCAGCAGAGCCGTGGTTAGAGCAGGAGACTCGGCCACGGCGAAAGCGAGACTGAAGCACCGCGGCGTCTCCTAACCCGCAGGTCCACAGTGTGGCCGTGCTGAAGCTGGGCTCCATACAGGCCGACCACGACGGCCGCAGCGGACAGTGCCTGTGCCTGGACTGGCTTCCTGTCGACCCTCACAACGTCCTGGCCGCAGGCTTCTATGACGGTATCTGTCCTGTAGCGGCATCAGGCACCACATTCTACATTTATTCAAAGTGACCCACAGCTGATAACAGGAGTAACCAGGTTAAGGGCTTCGCCCGACGATGATGTCACTCTGTCAGCCATGTTATTGAACTGGTGACCTTCTCATCACAGGCACAGTGTCTTACTCTGCTGATCCACACACCTTCTGCTGATGTGCTGGATGACCTACAGCACGAGCTCCTTACATGATTACATGAGTGTCACTAAAGTATCTCAATAAGGTGTAAGGTCATGTGAAAGGTGGTGATATTAAACTTTTAGAGTGTAAAATTCATCCATCTTTCGTAAATGCTTGTCGAGTGAGTCGGCAGCCTATCCCAGGAAGCACTGGGCCTAAGGCAGGGGACACCCCGCATGGGGGGGCAGGTCCATTGCTGAACACACAGTCACACACAACATGGTCAATTTAGACATGTCAGTACACTTAAACGTTATGTCGTAGGAATGAAACCCCACACAAACTCAGGAAGATCATCCAAGCCCACAAACCCGCAATGCTGCCCACTGAGCCACCGCACAGCCTTGTGGGAAATGCAGTCCGTTAGTATTGATATGGCTCTCCCCCCAGTATATTTACCTGAATAATGCAGCATAGAGCACAAAGGTGGGCTACAGCCCAGCTAGGATGCTGGTCCATAACAGCAGTGTTTCTTAAACCGGTACTTGGGGACCTCCAGACGGCCCACATTTTTGTTCCCTCCCACTGGGGGTCCGTGTGGACTGGTTTGAGCAACACTGTGGGCAATTTAGAGAACAACAATTAGCCTGCATGTCTTCACATTGTGGGAGGAAATCAATGTGACTGAAAAAATCACACAAACCCTAAGCACAGATCAGAGACAAGATTCAAACCCTCAACCCTCAAGCTTACAGGCAGCAGTGCTACACGTTGAGCCACACCATAACCCAATCTTATGCAATATTAGGTTGTGTTACACCCTGTTTTCCGTCCTACTGAAGGCACGGTGGCACTATGGAACCTGAACACCAAATCGGTGCTGCAGCGGGTGCGATCTCCCAACGGCCGCGTGGTCACCTACCCGTACCACTGCTTCCTAGCTCACGACAGCATTGTCCGTGTCCTGTGCTGGTGCAGGGCCTCCGGGTAAGTGTGACCTGCATGACCGTATTGGGAAAGGGAGGGATCCGCATTCGAGAGGCTGCTTTCAAGGTTCGATTTGGACTGGGGATTAGGTTACCATTAGGGTTAGGCTCAGAACTGGAACGTGGGAGAGAATTAGGATTGAAGTTTGGATAAGGAATGATATTTGGGTTGTCGTCGGAGTAAGGGTTAGGGTTAATGGTTGTTGCTGTGATCAGTTTTGGCTTCAGGTTAAAGAACCACAAACTCACTTTCTCATCACTTTCAACAGCAATTCCAGCACAAATGAAAGTGCACATATTACCAGAGACCTTTGGCATCCTTCCCAGACCCTTTTATTTTCTTATTTCTGTTTGTTTTCTTTTCTGTGTATTACTGTTCCCCCACCAGAAGGTGTGGGGGGGGGGGTCAGACCCTATCTCACCCTGGTGATGCCCAGCGGGCGCCTTCACTGCTGCCCCCGCCTCCTCTGAAATGACTCGTTATCTCCAGGCCGCCGGAGCTCCGCCATTAACGCCTCACGTCCAGTATCCAGCCTCCGGCGGGGTACACCCACATTTCTAACAGACGCACACAAAGCCAGTTGCTAGGGTACAGATGCAGTACCGTGAGGGGGGGGGGTGATCAGCCTGGGAGGAGGGTTGGCAGATGGCTAAGTTTCAGGAGCAGAAGATGGGAACAGACACCTTTCCAACATCAGCAGATTCTGTCATGAAATTTGTGTAAATGCTTTTGGGTGGGGAGGGAGTGTAGATTATGTTTATATTAAATTGTGGGCACCAAATGTTCCCCACAATGTAATAAAAACCTGTCATTTTGACGTTGTGGGGACCACTTTTCAGGTTTTAATGCAGATTCTTAAAAAATATGGAGTGGTCCCCTAATTTTTTTGCAGAGCTCTCTGACTCTGTCTCTCTCATTTATATAAAAGAAAAATAAATGAAATGGGGTATCGATGATGTAGAGCAGGGGTCGGCAACCCTAGGCATGCGTACCACAACTGGCACGCAGAGGAATTTCGGGTGGCACGCTGACGATGATCGCAATACAGACCTGCACTCCCGCGGGACCCAACCTCATGTATGTGCGGGTTGCGGGAGAACAGAATTAATCGCGGGACTCCCGCAAAATGGAATTATCTTAAAATTAATTTATTAAAAACAAATACTC